GGTTGGCCAAAGAGGACGTGCGCAAGACGGCTTTTCGCACGAACCAAGGGCACTACGAATATCTCGTGATGCCTTTTGGTTTGTGCAATGCGCCATCGACATTTCAGTTTGCGATGAATTCAATCTTCAAGGAATACCTTCGTAAGTTTGTGTTAGTATTCTTTGATGACATTTTGGTGTACTCGAAAACATGGGCAGATCATCTCGAGCACTTGTGAGTTGTTTTGGAGATTTTGGCGGCTAACTCATTTTATATAAAGCCGTCCAAGTGCTCGTTTGCTCAAGAGGTGGTCGAGTACCTTGGGCACTTTATTTCTCATGATGGTGTCAAGGTGCATCCAAGGAAGATTGAGGCGATGGTGGGTTGGCCGAAACCCACGAGCTTGACGTAGTTGCGAGGGTTCCTTGGTCTTACGGGCTATTATCGCAAATTCGTGAAGGACTATGGAACCATCGCGAAGCCACTCACAGAGATGACGAAGAAGGGAGCATTCAAGTGGACGAAGGCGAGTGAGAAGGCTTTCGAAGAGCTGAAGGAGGCCATGACGACCACGCCCGTGCTCGCAATGCCGAGTTTTGATGTGTTGTTCGAGATTCACTCGGATGCGAGCGACATTGGAATCGGGGCGGTTCTGGTGCAGGAAGGACGACCCTTGGCCTATCTCAGCAAGGCACTCGGGCCGGCGCGCTTAGGGTTGTCCGCGTACGTGAAGGAAATGCTGGCCGTGGTCGAGGCCGTGCGCGTGTGGAGGCCGTATTTGCTTGGGCGGCACTTTCGGATTGTCACGGACCAGCAGCCGCTCAAGCACTTGCTCAAGCAAAGGATCGTGACGCCCGAACAACAGAAGTTCGTGTCCAAATTGATGGGGTTAGACTTCGAGATAGTGTATCGACCCGGTCGCAGAACACCGTGGCCGACGCATTGTCTCGCCGGGAAGACGTGGCCGAGCTCACCGCAGTGACGGGGCCGACATGGGCCGTTTGGGCCAAGCTTCGAAAGGCACAAGATGAGGATGCGCATTGCCGGGATGTGATCGAGAAGCTGAATGGGACACGACGAGGACGAGGACCATGACATGCACGATGGCTTGCTCCTTTATCATGGGCGAGTCGTCGTGCCCGAAGCGGGATCGTTGTGCGAGAACATCATCCGGCACTTCCACGACTCAAAGTTTGGAGGACACTCAGGGGTGTTCCGGACATGGATGAGGATTGCGAGCATTTTTTATTGGCCGGGGCTGAGGAGTGATGTGCGCGACTACGCGATGTGATGAGTGCCAACGCACTAAGACGGACGCACGTCGACCAGGCGGGCTGGTCCAACCTTTGCCGGTTCCCGCACGAATTTGGGAGGACATCACCATGGATTTTATCGAGGGGTTGCCACTATCGAATGGGTTCAATGGAGTCATGGTGGTAGTCGACCGCCTTACCAAGTATGCGCATTTTATTCCACTTACTCATCCCTACACGGCTAAGTCAATAGAAAAATTGTTTGTTGAATATGTGATGAAGTTGCATGGGGTACCGTGGTCAATTGTGTCCGACCGAGATCAGATATTTATGAGTAGCTTTTGGTCGGAGTTCTTTAAATTGCAGGGAACCGAGCTAAGCATGAGCTCAGCTTATCATCCACAAATCGACGACAGACAGAGGTGACCAATCGCACGCTCGAGCAGTACCTTAGGTGCTATGTACATCAGTTTCCAAAGCGATGGGAGGATTATTTACCTTGGGTCGAGTATTGGTATAAAACCACTTACCATAGCTCGACTAAGGCGACGCCGTTCGAGTTGGTGTACGGGCGCAGACCGCCGACAATCGTAAGTTACTCGATGGGAAGCGCCGTGAATGATGAGGTCGATCGAGAGTTGGTCGAGTGCGACTTGATGTTGCATGAGCTAAAGCGGACATTGGAGGGCTCGATCAATAGGATGAAGGTGTACCATGATGGCAAGCAGCGTGACGTGGAGTTCGAGCCCGGGGACTGGGTGTACTTAAAGTTGAGGCCGTTTCGACAAAGGACGGCCGCGCAAAGGGCCGCGACCAAGCTCGGAGTTCGATATTAGGGGCCTTATAAAATTTTGGCCAAGGTTGGGAAGGTTGCTTATCGACTTGAGTTGCCGGACGATTCCCATAATCATTCGGTTATACACGTCTTACAACTCAAGCAACAACTCGGCGAGATGCACGCGGCAAAGGATCGACTACCCGCGGTCGCACCGGACGGACAGGTTATGGTGCGGCCTAGCTGCGCGATGGAGTACCGGCAAGTCAAAAAAGCTGGGAAATATTTTTGGGAGGTGCTCATCGAATGGGAGGACTTGCCGAGCGAGGAAGCGACGTGGCAAAGTTGGGACGAGATGCGTGAGATGTTCCCCGACTTCTTCCTTGAGGACAAGGAAGCACTTGAAGGGGACGGAAATGATGCGAACACCACGAGAAGACTCAAGAACGCAGCAAGTCGCGCATGGCATGCGCGAAGGAGGCTAAGTCGCCGTGCCGGCGAGGCGCGATACGCGGACGGACACGCGCGTGATACTATCGGGGACAAGCACGGGGTTGAACGCACAGGCGACGGGGTACACGCGCGTACTTGCCTAGGCGCACGAGAATTAGGCGAGCTCCTGGATGCGTGCGCAGGAATGGAAGATGAAGCCCTAGTGCTTGGGCAATTCAGCAATGCGGACGCGGGCAGGGCGGCGTGAGGCGCAAGCAAGAAATATTCTAGATAGCTTGGTCAATATTTTATTTCCTTGTTTTCTAGTTTGTTTAGGATACTTTATATTTTATTGCTTTCCTAGAGTAAGTATACTAGTCTTAGTAGATTAGGACTATATCTTTATTTTGAGCCTTATAAACAGGCATGCCTTGTTCTCAATTATGCATATTGATTCTTCTTAATACAAAAACCGAACTTTGTTCAAATCTCTTGCTTTAGTTTACGTTAAGTGTTCTATTACAAATTATCGTTCGAAGGGGCACGAGTGTGTGAACCTCCGAGCACAGTATCGACGATTTAAGGCGCGGGAGCGGCTTGTCGGCAATCGAGACACACGGTCTTCATCTTACGTGCGGGTGGGCGCGCGAACAGGCAAGCCCCGAATAGGTCGGGAGCGCGCAGGCACGCACGCGCACGTAGACACTGGCGTAATGGGGAGCGGCGCAGTGGAACCAACAAATTCAATAAAAACAAAGAGAAATTCGGCCCCTCAACAAAAGGTAATAACCAAAAAAATAAACAAAACAAAGGATTAGATGACACTTTTTTTTGTTTAAGCCTCGATCCCAACTCACGAAAATAAATGAAAAATTTGAACAAAAATTCGAAAATTTCGAACAAAAAAGAACCAAAATTCGGCCCCCACAGCAAAAGGCAAAACCAAAAAAAAAAAGAAAAAGAGATAGATAGATAAAAATTCGATCAGCACTCTCAATGAGAGCACCAATGATGACGGATCGGATTTTTGTCTATACTTGGGTTGTGAATAAACGCGCACTCAGGGCCTTCGTTTATCCACGATAGGTGTATCTAATAGACGCACTATCGGCCTTCTCCTAGACACTGTGACTTCAAGACGCTCTAATGGCCTTCTCTCCGACACTGTATGTAAACACACATAATGGCCTTGTTTAAACACACGTAAGAGCAACAAGTTCCCCTCATAATTGGCTCACCAATTCAATACTCCATTCAACATGAAAATAATGATGAGGTACATGGGTATTTATAGGTGCAAAATAAATCTAGGCCTAATCA